AAGTGGAGCACGTGCAGTTAACCACTACACCACCAGGCCGACCTCTTATTTTTCTTTTTTTAATCTTTTAAAATTATTTTATTGTTTCTTTTACTTGTTTAAAGTACCTTTTTTTTTTTTTTAACTGTTTTTACAATTTTATCCGGCCTTATTTCGGAAAGGATTTAAGATGGGCTCCTATTTTGCTGAGTTTTAACAGGAAAATTCTAGAAGTTTTACCCTTGCTCTCCCTTCATGTGATGCTTGGATTGAAGCTTAAGCCATCACATTTGGCTTTGTTTAGTTTTATTACTAAATCAATTTTACTGAGAAAAAAGATCTGGCCCAATAGCCACTTTACCATTGAGAAACCAACTCCAGTCCACGTGCTGATGGCACCAGAACTTTAAATGTGCTGCGTGGTATGCTTTCCTTAAATTACTTAGAATTTGGCCAGCTTAGTGCAAATTCAGGAAACAGGACGCTTCAGCCATGGCCAGCGACAGAATCGCAGGTACTGCGAGTCGAGCATTTGTGACGGGGAGACCGTGAGCTTGGGGCTCCTCGCCCCTCACTGGTTATTGTGGTTGCATGGATTGGCTTTATAAAAGCCCAAACCCGTGCAAGCTCCACGCTTTTGATCATGTCTCCCTATCATTAAAAAAAACCTGAGCCTGGGCCGACCCAGTGGCATAGTAGTTAAGTTCACATGCTCTTCTTCGGTGGCCTGGGGTTCATAGGTTCGAATCCCGAGTGTGGACCTAAACACTCACTCATTAAGCCATGCTGTGGTGGCGTCCCATATACAAAATAGAGGAAGATGGGCATAGATATTAGCTCAGGGCTAATCTTCCTCACCAAAAGAAAAAAAAAAAAGAGGAAGATTGGCAAGGGATGTTAGCTCAGGGCTGATCTTCCTCACCAAAAAAAAAAAACCCAACGCACCAAAAAACTAAACCTGAGCCTGCACCCTAACATATATTCACTTATAAACTATACCTTATGTTGAACCATTTGAAATTGCTGATGTTCGGTTGTTTTGACCCACAAAAACGGCAATTTCATATGACCAACCTACGGGTACTATGGGGCTAATATGTCATGCACATTATAAAATATACACACGCTGTGGATTTTAAAGGATAATACAAATATCAAATAACCATTTTAAACATAATTTGAATTAACAGCTTTAGAATCCTTTTGCTTTCATTGTTTGTGTATAATTTAATAATATTTAAGCTATCTCACAGAGAAGCATAGATTCAAATGAAAGAAGCACATCATGCATTTATTAAATCACAATCTTTGTTTTCAGTCCCATCCACCAATTTTGCAGAAGTTCTTGTTGAAATCTGATGAGTAAATTTCCATCTTCTCATGTCAATTCACTGTTTTGTTTTGTTTTGTTTTGTTTTTTAAAGATTTTATTTATTTTATTTTTCCCCCCAAAGCCCCAGTGGATAGTTGTGTGTCGTAGCTGCACATCCTTCTAGTTGCTGTATGTGGGACTCGGCCTCAGGATGAACGGAGAAGTGGTGCCTCGATGCGCACCCAGGATCCGAACCCGGGCCACCAGCATCGCAGCGCGCGCACTTAACCACCAAGCCACAGGGCCGGCCCACTGTTTTTTGAACCAACTGGGAGATGTTGGATTTTGTGTTTTTATTTAGCTATGCAGTATATTTATGTATTAGACGAAGGATTCAAAAATGCACTGAAACTTCTGAATATTTTTAAACAGTTTAAATGTTTTTGTTTTAAGGTATATAGACTCGGTGGGTTTTTTTAAGGTAACATATCAGTTTCAGCAAGAAAAATCACCCAATGATAGAAAAAATTCCAGACATCCACTTTCACAAGGCTCTTCATAGCATGAGTTTCTTTTGATTCAACACTTACTTTTCCACTCACTCTTAAGAATATCATCTTAGCATTGAAGAAACAAAGGTTTTTTTCATGTATATCTATTTTAAATTTTTAAATATTTGCTAACTGGCATATTTCTAACAATCACTTAGCCCAAAGAAGGTCAGAAAAATGTAAAAAACTTTTAAGTTTGACATGCTTAAGTACTTTGCCAAATGACAGCTGGCTGCCTTCTGTTTAGTTCGAAAGACTCTGTGGTCACTCATGTGACGACAAAAGCTTGCAAAATTTCCCTACTTTAAAGGTCTTATTTTTATAAAATGAACCACACTGTCCAACCTTTCTGAAGGAGTCGGGGGGCTACCACTGGCTTATGCTCATCCTACAGTAAAAAGAAGTGAAGAGAGAGAGAAAAGTCTTCAAAAGACTCGTTTTATTTTCCTATCACATGAGCTTTACAAATCAGGAAATTTCTCTTTAAAAATCTGCGTCTCTGGCAATGCTTGCCTGTGTTCCCACATGGAACCAATCAGCTAGAGCTGAGTAGAGGCTGCTTCATTAAACAACCTTACACTCTTCAGTTCTCCACAGTCTCCACCATTCCCTATCGCTCATACCTTTTATTTCCATTCATTTACAAAAAGAAAAAAAATCACTTTGATAATATTTTCTAAAACCTACATTTCTCCTTCAATTTATTTTCTGCAATAGCTTGCCTAATAATGATGCAATAAATGGATTTCACATGTGGTGCCATGTCTATACCTTTTCTCTAGAGTCTTGAAAATTCTCATCAAAGCAGCCACTCCAACAATGGTTACACTTAATCATAAAATATATTATTTTGAATAAGTAATTCATGCTTGAGGCTGACTTCTCTGACACATCTTTCTTTTAGTGGCTCACAAAAAGTAGCACCAAATGAATTTGGTTATTGAAACAGAATCTTTCAAATCCCACAAGCTGAAACATGCTAGAAACATTTGTACTTTCACCCAGGTGCATTGCACACCTCCCACACTGCCTAATTTGTTGTAATATTTGTTTCTCCAAGTCTCCCATTTTCGTTGAGTCTTCCGACAGATTTGCTAATAAAAGAATGCATTTCAATTTATTGCTGTAGTGTTTCCTTGCTATTTTAACCGGTTTTACTGTGGTAGGAAGGAAAAGCGTTCTGCCAGTAGTGTGTTTCTTTTTGAATTTTAGTTTTAAACGAGAAATTGCAAAACAGTCCGCTAAACGATTATCAAGTTTGGTGAAATTTTGTAAAATACTATATTTAGGATCACATGATATTAAGCATGTGGTCAATAATATCTGAGGTATAATATATGCTTTGCTTGGGATTCAATGACAATATGTTAATAATTCAATTATTTTTCTTGATAATTTCAATTGTGTCTTGCTAACTTCCCATCAGATCTTTTTTACTTTGTTTTGTGGCTGATGACAAGCTTGTAATAAAAGCAGAGATTTCAGCCTCACCATTTTCTTGTGGTTTTCTTGTGCTTGCATTACCTGTGTTATTTTCAATCCAGTTTCTTGGGCAGAGATTGTTTTTATTGCACTATAATTCCCATCCTATAAAATTCACCTTTAAAAGTGTACACTTCAGCAGTTTTTAGTATAGTCACAGAGTTGCACCATCACCACTATCTAATTCCAGAATATTGTCATCACTCCAAAAAGAAGCTCTGTACCCATTAGCAGTCACTCCCTCTTCCCCCTCCCCCCAGCCTCTGTCAACAACTAATCTGCTTCCTGTCTGTCTGGATTTTCCTATTCTGGACATGTCATATAAAAGGAATCATATAATGTGGCCTTTTGAATCTGGCTCCTTTCACTTAGCGTAAGGTTTCCAAGGTTCATCCATGTTGTTGTATATCAGTACTTCATTCCTTTTTATGGCTGAATAATATTTCATTGTACGGATAGAACACATTTTATTTATCCATTCCTCCGTTGGTGGACATTTGGGTTGTTTTCACTTTTTGGTTTTTATGAATAATAGTCCTACGAACGTTTGT